TAAACCCCTAGGCCCTAAACCTCGAACCCCCTAAAACATGCCCCCTGGGCCCTAAAGCCTACACCCCTAAACCCTCAACCCCAACCCCGAAGGGCCCTGAAAGGAGCCCTCAGATGGAACCCCTCCTAGGAACCCTTCAAGGGAGCCTTCTCGATGAAGGTCCCACCACTCGACCAGAGGGTTCGCAGCATCCGCCCAGCTCGGAACCCTGACAGTGGTTTCGGGGTTTGGGGTTTAGGGCTCGAGGGGTTTAGGGTTTAGGGCTGTCAAGAGTTTTAGGGGGTTGGGGTTTGGGGTTTTGGGGCTTGGGACATGAGTAGTTCTCTGAGTTAGGGTCCCCTTAAAGGGTTCCTGTAAGGGATCTGTAAGGGTTTCTGTCAGAGTGCGAAAAGGGTTCAATAAGATAATAGTAATAGGGTCTGTTTTATCACAGTTTCGTACTATATGGGGGACCTGAACAGGGATCCTACTTTAAAGAACTACCCACTCTGCGGCGGGTCAAGCGGCTTAGTGGCTTAGGGGTTTAGGGGTTAGGGCAACCTAAAACCTAAACCCTAAACCCTAAAACCTAAACCCTAAGCCCTAAAACCTAAACCCTAAACCCCAAACCCTGCACCCTATAAGCCCGAACCAGGGTTAAAAGCCGAACGAAACCCTAGGATTCAGCCCAGAAAGCTTTCACGAAGCCCAAAGGCCCAAGCAGGGAGGCCTTTCGGCTACTCTACGGTTTAGGGTTTAGGGTTTAGGGTTTAGGGTTTACGGTTTAGGGTTTAGGGTTTAGGGTGCAGGGTTCAGGTTTTAGGGTTTTGGGTTTAGGGTGTAGGGTTTATGGTTTAGGGTTTAGGGTGTAGGGTTCAGGGTTTAGGGTTTGGGGGGTTCAAGTCTCGGGCTTTGGTCATAAACCCTAAACCCTAAACCTGACCCCCATATCCCCCATCGCATGAAGGCGGTTCGTCGGAAGCTAGCACAGAGGGAAAAACTTCAGTTGGGAATCTGAAAGATCAACTCCGGTATTCCTTCGGAGAGGTTTATTAGGGTTGAGGGATGAGGGTCTAGGTTCCAGGGCTTAGAAACACATGCTTCACATCACACCTGCAAGGCCAAAACTTTAGCATGCGGCATTTAAAGCGCTCGAATCCTCCCCGCCCCTCCCGCTACTAAGTTGTATTTTGTTGTTCGGGGGGTTCTTTGCCCGGCTTGGGGTTCGGGGCTGAGTATACCCTAGTATAACCCAGTTACTCCAAAACCCCTTAATTCAAGGAATATACCTCAAATTGCACCACAGGAACCCTACTAAGATTTAGGGTGTATTCCTTAACTAAGGGGTTTTGGAGAGTCTCTGGGAAGCCCTGAACTACGGGTCCGTAGTCGGATCTGAAGAATGAGAGCCAGCCCACTACGAACGAAGGGTCTGGAGCAGTCCTAGGGTTCGGGGCTCTATGGGTTGAGGTCAGGGTTTAGGGCTTAGGGTTTAGGGGTTTAGGGGTTTGGGGTTACGGGTTTAGGGGTTAGGGGTTTAGGGTTCGGGGCTCTACGGGTTCTAAGGTTTAGAGTTCTGGGATTTCGGGTTGAGGGCTCCAGGGTGAGGGGTCAGGGTTCTAGGGTTTAGGGTTGTTTTAGGGTTTAGGGGTTCAGGGTTCAGGGTTTGGTCAGGGTTTTAGGGTTTAGGGTTTTGGGTTCTAGTGGTACTACTGAAAGACCTAACTTAGTCTTCCACGAACCCCAATGCGGCAAGGTGCTCGCGTGTGAGGCGAAGGTATTTCCTTGGGTGTGTGGCAGGGCCTACAGGACTACTGGAAAAGCTTCTGTGCCAGCGAAATATCCTAATGCGAGTGGGTCTAAACCCTACAGAAGAAGCCCAAAGGTTGAACACCCGATAGCCCCAATCCTCACCAGTAATATGATTGGAATCCTGGCGCTAATTGTCCTTGGTCCGGTTTTCAACTGTTGGAGTTTACTATAAGCCCTTGTCGAATCGTTCTACGCTCGGATCCCTTATTGCACTTTGCGGATCCACTTGACTTCATTCAGGTTCCACCAGAGCAAGGCAAAGACTCGAAGTTCTGAAGGGATTACCCTAAACCCTAAACCAAAGCCCCAAACATTGGACCCTGAACCGTGAAGTCTTGCATTGACATCTGGCACCTGCAACAGCAGCAGAGACTTCAATAGTCGTCGTCACAGCAGCAGGAGTAGAGACCGCCGATGTAGTGATGTGTTTTTGCATGTTCTTGCTATGAACTCCGTTTACTTGGATATGTTCAGCAATTAATGCTTCAACTTTCATCACAACGGTCCCCAAGATCAGGTTTCGCTTGCATTCTTCATGATATACAGTTTCGCTGATACGATTTACCCTTGTGGGGATCCAACTGCCGGCTATGTTGAGGGTTTGGCCCTTCCATACTTAAACCCGAAACCCTGAACTGTCGAATCAGATCCGGTTGTTTTCTTATCGTGAGCAGTTTGGAGTATTAAGCATTTCGGGGGTACGGGCTTCGTAAATCCGACACCCTTAAAGATAAGATAGACGACCCCGAAGCCCTAAATACTCCAACACGGCAAAACCCCACCACCTGAAGCCCGTAAAACCCCCTAAGCCCCTAAACCCC